TAAGCCTGAGTGGTCTGTTGACTGACCTTTGTATTTGTTCAAATAATTGTTATGGACAGGTTACAATATAAAAATGTTTGTTATAATCATGTCTTGTGATTATTTGACAGGAGTTTTACTTTTAAACTGTAAGTGTATTTAATTTAGTTATGTTAGTTAAGATGTAAATACAATAAAAATTAAACCAAGGTTTAGAATAATTATCATTTTGATCATACATTGGTAATGTCTCTCTGGGCCTCGTGTCACTTTATGTTTAATAAATGACCCTGTGGTCAAAAAGGTTAAGAACCCCTGGACCATAAGACTCATATAAACACATTACCTTTAAACATTCAAGCTAATTTTGTCAAAAGATAAAGTTGTTATAATCTCAAAGGGACAGAGATGTTTGTTTAATCTAAATTTAAAACCAATTTGAAGGAACGGTGTACTTCAATCCAAGGAATAAGATTATGGAATAATCTGGTGAGTGAAGTTAAAAATACCAGATAAATCATAAAAGTTGGTCTGTTAAAGAAATGGAATAAGGTGTATTTATATGAACTGTTGTTCACCAAGGTTTTGATGTTGTTTTTGTTTAGCTATGGTTTTTTTGTGAATTTTTGTTTGATTTTATTCTTGGGAAAAAGGGGAAATATTATAAGAAATGTTTTATTCTCTCTGCTGCTGTGGAGGGTTTTTGTTGTTTTGCAGTTGATTCTGGGTACTGTGGACAGAGACTGGGATGGACTCACCTGTGTGCAGTCTTCACTAATGAGATCTGGTTTGAGTTAAGGTACCTTCTGAGGTCCATCTGATGCTGGAATATTCAGTCACCTTTGGTACTGCCTATGACAGAGTTATTTTCCTGAGTAAACCAGTCGTCTTATCAAACTGTATTTCTGTGCTTATCTGTGTTCAGGTTGGTGTTCCCGACTCCTCACCATTGTTCCACTCTCGTTAGAGTTGTTTGCTCACCTTCTGGAACTTGAGTGGATCAGCTCGTTGTCCTCTGCCCTGCCGCTCTCACACAAGAACCTGCAACCTGATTTTGAAACCATCTGTGAAGGACTTACCTTTTGGAAAAGCCTCTTCAGACCTCCCCTCCATGCTAGCCTCCTCGTCAAAGATCTGTAAGAGAACGACACCAACATTTTCTGATCATAATTCCCTCCTGAAGGAACAACTCTCTACAGCCTGTTTTTATTATTAGTAAATAAACTCAGTCACTTTTTTACTCCAGTTTTCATTTTCCTGTTTTTCACTATCATTCTAAGCTCTCATTTATATTTTTTTCTTATGTTGTGTATAAAGTTTTTGTTTTTTGATTAAATTAATAAAGTAAAAAATAAATAAATTAAATGGGACATTTTGTACACAATAAAATGGTGAGTTTGTGATTGCCAAATGTTTTATTTGAACACACTATGTCAGTGGTTCCCAAACTTTTTATCTTCTGACCCACAAAATATCCATGGCAAAAACATGTGACCCCAAATATTACTGGTCTGAGTACATGAACTTTGTTAATAACCCTAAAAACACAGGCTTTTTGACAATCTAAACAGCTTGTACACAAATATAAATACTTATTTATACTTACTTCCTCTGATAGATTTGTATGAAAGCACCAACAGCAACGTGTCACTTGACTGTCACTTGACTACTTTATACTTACAGTGGTTTGCAAAAGTATTCATACCCCTTGAACTTTTCCATATTTTGTCACATTACAAC